ATCTCCCCAAATGTGTTTGGCTTCCTTTTAAATTCAGCCCTCCCGGGGCTGCTACCCTTCTGAGAGTCTCCCCTCCTCACTCCACCGCCCCTCCTCCACCAACCGGCTGAGTCACATATTTGCATCAATCAAGACATGTCTTGCTCTTGGAGAATTCCAAAGCCAGAACCTGAAACTGTTTTCTTTTTTTGTTTAAGATTTATTTATTTATGCATACAAACTGGGGTACAGGCCAGCTGGGCAGGAGGTGAGAGGATTCACCAGACACAGTGGGGAGCATAACATGCAGATCAACCAAGTACACTGCTGAGGGGAGCAGCGGGCTGGTCAGGAGAGGACTGCTTCGCCCTGTGGGTCACTCCCTGGCTGGGAATCGAACTCATGCCTAAGCTGCTGCTGCTGATAGCTTCGCAGTGCTGTGCTTTAACCCTTTGTGCCACCGGGGAGGGCCTGAGACTGGTACCATTTTCATCCCACTTAGTGTCTTTCCTGCTGGCCAGGTTCTGTGTGGGGCGCTGGCCAAGCAGGGGTGAGATGGGCCCCAGTGTGCCCTCCTCACTTCTGGACTTGGACTACAATTGGCTCTAAACAGCAGATACGGGTGAGCAGTTTAAAGACTCCCTGGGTCTGTGTGCAGGTAGATGAGGGGGGAGCTCGGAAGAGGGCTTGGGGGGGATTGGGGGAGCAGAGGGAAGGAGAAAGGGCTTGGCGGAGCTGATGGAGGAAGGAATGCAGGGGAGGCATCACAAGACTGAGTCACACAAAGGGGAAGGGGAGAAGGGGCAAGTGAAGCAATTGACACAGCCATAAAATCAAGGTCAAAACCCGGTGGGTGTCCGGGATGCCTGAATATCTGCAGGAGCTCCCAGCAGATAACAGACTGTTGGGGGCTGTGCCTGAAGCTCAGACCCAAGAGGTGAAAGATAAGGACGTGGAGATGAAGCTCATCAGGAATCTCTTCAGATTCTATTCAGAGTCAACAAACCTAGGCTCAGGAGTGAGCCCCTCCCAGGGAGAGGCTGTCTCTCCACCAACACGGGCAGCAAGCAGTCAGTCCTCTGCCCCCTGTGACTAACAGGTGCTTCTTTCCACCCGCTCTCCCTCTGCAGGGCAGCAGCCTCCTGCCTGCCTGTGACCTGCACCATGCCAGGACTTCTCTGCACTGACCTCCCTCAGTGCAGGCCGCTCCCCCAAGCCCCCCCCCCCCACCCCCGCAACTATGAGGGTCTCTTTCTGCAAACCTGCCCCTTCCGGGCAGCTCTTCCTGCCCACTTGTGCCTATGCAAGTGTCTTTTCCTCTCCTGTCTCTTTCTAGTCAACTTACTCTTTAAATATAACTGTCTTGTGAAGAATCGCGCCATGTGCCGCTGAAAGGGGAGCTCTGGTGAAACATTTCCCAGAGTGAACCCAAGGACCCCAACTCCGAAAGACAAAAGAGCCAGCGCTGATTTAAAGCACCAGACCCCCATGACTCAGGCCATTGAAATGAGGAAATTCTCAGAGAAAGACACAGAGCTGTTTCTATGAGGAAAACAAAACAACCTTGAGCTAAGACCAGAGGGAAATGGATATGAAGGCCATGCATAGAAGCCTCAGGGAACTCAGACCCATACCAGGGCTCATGTGTAGAAGCCTCAGGGAACTCAGACCCACACCAGGGCTCATGTGTGGAAGGGACACGCCTCAGGAGCTGAGGATACAAGGCCAGGGGAGGAGAGAAACGTGAGTGCAGTGTGCACAGTGTTTACACCTGCGAGGGAGTTGGTAGGCCAGCCCAGGCAGCTTGGGGGGACGGGCAGAGGGCGCCCTGACCTTGGCCTGCTGAAGTCCCGACCACAGGACCCGCCCGCATTCCTGGCTCTCGGGACTGAGGATCACCTGGGCCTTGACTATCTCTTCTGTACCGTCCACCTTGGCTGTTCCCATCTACGCCGCTCCTCCCACTATAAATTCTCTCCCTACTCCCCTAGGCGGGCCCCTCCTCCCTTGGAGTCCCCTCCTGCAACTGGCCCCAGTAAACCTTTTCTCAGATGGTTTGTGAGGGCCCCTTTCGGCAACACCTTGACAGGAATATTTTCTCAGATCTTGCCTGTGAATGCCACCCACATGTGGACTGTTAACTGGGGTTGGGGGAGGAAGTGACATCTGGGAGGGAACACGGGAGACCCCCAATCTGTCAGGAATGTTTGATTTCTTCAAATAAAAAAAAATGGTAAAATTATGAAGGTATTGGGCCTCCCTGGTGGCACAGGGGTTTAGTCTCAGTACTCTGAAGCTGTCACCAGCCACTGCAGCGAGTTCGACCCCCCCAGCCAGGGAGCTGACCCACAGGGCCCAGCAGACCTCTCTGGTTTCCTCACTGCTCCCCTCAGCAGTGGATTTCAGTTCATCTGCCTGTTCTCCCCCGCTCTGTCTCTGGTGAATCTTCTTACCCCCAGCCCCCATGTTCTGGCTTGTACCCCAGTTCTTGTGTGCATAAATAAATAACTCTTTTTTAAAAGTGAAGGTGTTATAAGATAGGTGTGCATACATGATAAGTCACATTTCCTTGAAAGCTATCTTTGTATTTGAAAAAGTTATTTTTATTGAAAAAATTATTTCTAAAGCAGAAAAAGGGTGGGGGTGGAGATGGGCTGGAAGGAGCAGGGAGGGACCAGAACTAAGACAGTTGACTTCACATTTCTCAACCCCAAAAGCCTTTCTGATGCGAATTTTTTTTTTTTTTTTTTAGCCCACCCTACCCCACTACAGGGCAGAGTACCTGGAAGGTAACAAAACACAGGAGGAAGGCACTAGGAGACAGCTAATGAAGGGGTTGGCAGGGGACAGGACCGTGACAGCCACAGGAGACCAAAGAACTTTGCTGCTTTATCTGCTGTGACAAAGTCCCCAGTGTTATTCAGAGCCAAGGATGCTTCTGGAATCAGGGGAGTTCCCAGGCCTGTGTAGCAGGAAGGAAGCCAGACATCTTAAACTTCCCATCTGCCCAGCAGGTGCTGGGTGGGGCGGCTTTGAGAGGCAGAAGAAAGAGTGAGCTGTGACGGCACTGGCCAGAAAGCAGTTGGCCCAGCTCTTCCCTGCAAAATAAGTCACGTTCTAGAAGCATGGGCTAGGAAGATTCCCAGGTAAATAACCCCCACCGCCACCCTGCCCCGGCCATTCCCAGAAGCCACACTCAGCTGCTCAGGCTGCTGGAACCCTGGGGCGGGCAATTCCAGAGTGTCTAGGAGGCGGCAACATGGGGAGTCACTCTGGGCCTAAAGCAGCCCAGGCCCAGGAATCCTAGCCTTTCCAAACCAGTACGGATGCAAAATGATACTTACAAACAAAAAATTAATCTACATTGAGAACCTCTGAATCTTTGCTCTTTAAACTAAAATTTGGAAATCTCGATTGTACTTTATGTTAATCTGAGAGACTACCAAGTGGTATTCCAGTCATTTCTTCAACAACTGAGTGCCAGCGCTGGGGACATTGCAGTGGACAGGTGGACAGAAGTGGACAGCATCCTGGTTGGCTGCGGGAGGCAGAATGACTATGTCAGTCAGCATTAAGCTGTACCTTAGGGCGATAAGGATTTTTTTTTTTGATAGAATAGTTTATTTTTATATCGTTGTGTACATTTTTTTTTAATCTCAATTGTAATCCCCGCGGGTTTCCCATCACCAAGTCACCTGTGTGCCATCACCATAGTCCAATGCACTCCCCCCCCTCCCCACTCCACCCCCACAAAATGTCTCTGGTATATGACTGTTCACTATTCTTATTATTTTCTCGCCTGTTCCATTATGCTCTTGCTATGAGTGAAACCATCGGTATTTTTCTTTTTCTTTCTGGCGATAAGGATTTTTTTTAAAGATTGATTTATTTATGCATGCAGAATTCAAGTACAGGCTAGAGGTGCAGGGGGTGAGAGGACTCACCAGAGGCAGAGCAGGGACCAGAACAGACAGAGAGACGAAGTCCGCTGCTGAGGGGAGCAGCAGGGAGACAGGAGAGGTCTGCCGTGCCAGGTGGGTCACCTGTGGGACCTGGGATGGAACGTGCAGCTGCCAAGGCCTCACAGTGCTGCGCTTTAACCCTGTTGCACCACCAGGAAGGGCCCTGACATGGTCTTTATTTAGCATCATTTGCGGTGAATGAGCTCCAGGAGCGATCCTTCTGTTACTACTTCTGTTAGTTACTTCGTTGCATCCTTGGGTCAAGAGCAAGGTCTCCTTTCTAGGTAGACGTCAATCACAAACAACGAGTGATATCTAAGATTCGCACTGGCCCAGTTTTAACTTGCAAGAACACACACTCCCTGGCTCCCTAGCCTGAAAATCTATGCTGATTTTACAAGCGGTAACAGACCCAGAGAGATGTAGGCGTGAATTCAAGAAGCTGCTTTCCGGACCGCGCTCCTGCCTAAGCACTGCTCTAAAGCGCAGCCTCACGCGAGCGATCGACGTGCTTCGGCCGAGCCCGAGTTCAGCCGCAGGCCCTGCCACTTGCTAGGCGGCTTTACCGAGGAGCAAAGGATTTACCTCTCTGAACCTCGGATTCTTTATCCTTAAAGGTCAAGCGTCTTCCAGTTCACCGCGAGGGTGAGAGATTGGCTCCTAGATACCACACCCCGAGCAACAACAGCTGGGGGGCGGGGAGGGAGCGGGTCTGGGTGTGGCCTTGCAGGAGGCCAAAGTCTTTCTAGACTTCAGGTTCCTCCCCCTTTTCCCCGCCCTACCTGGGGCCCTGGGCGCTGCCTCCGACCCCCCACCCCCCTGAACCCCGGGCCAAGCGAGGTGACCAGAGAGGCACCGTGACAGCCCGTGTCCCCGAAACGGGCGGACGAGGTGGTGTGGTAGAAAGAAATGCGGCGGCGGGGAGAAAACGCGGCCGGGCGCTAGCCGCCCCGCCCCTCCGCCCGATTTCGCCGGGAAGGGAGGCGCCGCGCCCGCCCCTCTCTGGCTGCCCGCGTGGAGCCGCGAGGAACCGAGAGCAGAAGGAGGCGACCTGCGGCGATGGAGGCGCTCGGCACCGGCACGCTGCTGCTGCTGCTCCTGGCGCTGGCGCTGGCGCTGGCGCTGCTGGGGACCCGCACCCACGACCACCTGCCGCCCGGGCCCGCGCCGCTGCCGCTGCTGGGCAACCTCCTGCAGCTCCGCCCCGGGGCGCTGTACCAGGGACTCCTGCGGGTGAGGGGAGCCCCAGCCGCCAGACCCCTGGGGCCGAGAGAGGGAGGGGTCTGCAGGGCAGGACGCAGGGGTGTCAGGACAGAGAAGCTGGGGTGTCCCGGGGAGGTGGCAGGAGCTGGGGACCTGGGCTAGGAGTCACCTGGAAGGGGGCGGGAGAGGGTGAGGGCTGGGGACAAAGAGGAGGACCTGGGTGGCCAGCCTGGCAAGAGTGGGCTGCCCACAGAATCCCTGGAGGGGGTGTGAGGGCTGGGAAGGGGGTCCCCAGTGGCAGAGGTCCCAAGCTGAGGGACCCACAAGATCCCGGGAGTGGAGGGGTCTGGCCAGAGATGGAAGCCTGGGAAGAGGAGCCCAGGTGTGATGGTGGTGGGTGGGCCGGTCCGTGAGAGGCTGCTGGGCCCTGCAGGTGAGGTGTCTGAAATGGGGGGAGGGAGGAGACACCAGGCCGCAGAGTGGAGGCCGCAGAGGAGAGCAGCTTCCAGGAATCTGTCAACAGAGAATGGGGGTGCTGGGCAGATAGGTGGAGCCCAGCTGGGAGGGAGCTGGCAGTTCCTGGGACCAGGCTGGAGCCTGGAACTTTCAGGGCCTGGCAAGGAGGGGGGATCTTGGGGAGAGATGGGCAGGCCTGGCAGCTGTCTCTGTTCCAGGAGTTGAGGGTTTAGGGGTGATGGAAAGTGTGACTGGATATTGGAGTGAGGGGCAGAGAGGGGAGGAATTATGGGAGACCTGGCATGCATTGGGGGTGTAGGGATGGGCTCCTTGTCCCCCGGGCAGAAGTTAGGAAGAAGGGAGTGGGGACTAGGGAGCCCCGAACCTCGGAACCTTGTGCAGAGAGGAAGGGCTGAGAGTACGGGGTTCACGGACAGAGAGCAAGTGCCTCATCCAGTGACGGGGGCCATGAGGTGACCGTGGGACTGTGCACCCCACAGCACCGCCCCCTCTTGCTCCCTGCCCCAGCTCAGTCAGAAGTATGGACCTGTGTTCACCGTGTACCTGGGCCCCCGGCGCCGCGTGGTGGTCCTGGTTGGGCACAAGGCCGTGCAAGAGGCCCTGGGAGGCCAGGCCGAGGAGTTCAACGGGCGGGGGACATTGGCCACGCTGGACGGCACCTTTGATGGCCACGGTGAGTCATCAGAATGCCCCTGGGCACTTGTGACCTTCCTGCACAGCGAGCTATTAGCAGCAGGTGCGGCTGTTATCACGAGCCCCCGGCAAGCAAAGACTTAGTTAGTCCTGTGCTGAAACCAGGCCCCAGGCCAGGGGGCAGCAGCCTGTCACTGTGACAAGGACAGTTCAGGGAGGTCAGCCTGCTTGGTGGACAGAGGGTGAGCTGAGACCCCGCTGCAGTGGGAGGACGCGGGAAGCCCTCCATCCATCCATCCATCCCTCTGACACGTCTCACGTGAAAGTAGCAGATGACCGCGGCTGACGGGAGGCCGCTCTCCCCGGGGCAGAGAGGGGCTTGCCAGGAGGCAGTGGAAGGAGCCGGTAGATTTCAAAATGAGAGGTGACAGTTGTACGAGCAGGACGCGATCTGTGCCGGGCAGAGGAGTGGGCCAGACCTCTCAGAGCTGACACGCAGGATGCGTGGGGCCCCCTTCTCTGGTGAGGACGGAGACCTGGGCCACCAGGCAGAGGGGCAAAGGCTGAGAAGCAGGGCTCTGACTCCCTGGTGGAAGTGGGAGAAGCTGGCGCGGTGGCGGTGGTGGAAGTAACAAGCCGGGCGAGTCTGGTCACGCAGGGCCTGAGTCACACTGGAGGGTTTGGGCTTTGGGTTCTGCTGGGAGCACTTGAACGTAAGCGGGGAAGGCGTACAGCCGGGGCAAGAAGGGCCTTCTGTTTGTGGGAGCCCGGCAAGGAGGCCAGGGTGGGAGCCGTGCGGAAGGGAGGGCTGGAAGTGGGGAGCGGCCCTGGCAATGGGCAGGGACAGGCAGGAAGAGGATGCTGAGGCCAGTTTGGGACACAGTGGACGGGAGGGGCAGGCAGCAGGAGGCCACCGCAGGTCAGCATTTTACAGGTGCGAGCGCGAGTTCAAAGAAGGGAAAGGGCGTGAGAACAGGCCTCTCCGATAAAGGACTAAAACGGGGCCGTTTCACTGTTCCCCTCCCGTTCAACCTCCAGATGACAAGGGCCACGGGATTCACTGTCGCTCTGTCAGTGTCGGGCTGGATGACGAATGGGAGGGCGGACGGTGGATGGACGATGGAGATGGGTGGGTGGGTGGAAGGATGGACCGTGCCGCATGGAAGGTTGGCGGGCGGACGGACGGACGGAATCTTCTGTCACCTTGGTTATTCGGAGGGACCTAGATGATTCTAGCTGCCAGGTTTTCAGGAGAATGTCACCTTCTGCACCAAGGCCACAGGATAGAAGAGCCAGTTAGCCGCTTATCCTGCACCTACCGAGCCTTTATCCTGGACACAGCCCGGTTGGGCGCAGATGGGGTGAGGGGTCCCCATTGGGGGAGCCTCACTGAGAGGACAGGAGTAGTCCTGGGGTGGGGGAGGGCTGGTCCCTCCTTGAGTCCAGCCTTCTGTCCAGGGGTTTTCTTCTCCAATGGGGAGCGGTGGAGGCAGCTGAGAAGATTCACCCTCCTCGCGCTGCGGGACCTGGGCATGGGGAAGAGAGAAGGCGAAGACATTGTCCAGGCTGAGGTCCGGTGTCTGGTGGACGCATTCCGGGAGACAAAAGGTCAGCATGGCAGCTTCAGCCTGAGTACCCCAGGCCCAGCTGAATGTGGGGAGCACCAGCAGCTGTCTCACGCACATCACGCTTTCACCATTTTTGTTTCTCTCTCCTACGTCAGTCTCTCTGTCCTTGTCTGTCTCGTCCTGTTCACCGCTGTCCCCGTCTGTCTCATCTCTATGTCTCTCTGCCTGTCCCTTTCTGGTTGAGTCTGGCCCTCACGTCACACTGTGGGTCCACCCTGCCTGAGGTCAGCCTCCTCTGCCCTCTCCCTCCTCACCCTCACCTGGACCCTCCCCCAGGACGGCCATTTGACCCCTCCCTGCTGCTGGCCCAGGCCACCTCCAACATGGTCTGCTCCCTCGTCTTCGGCCGCCGCTTCCCCTACAAGGATAAGGAGTTCCAGGCCATGGTCCAGGCGGCTGGCGGAGTCCTGCTTGGGGTCAGTTCCCGGTGGGGTCAGGTAAGTGAATGGGGTATCCCCCCCCACCCCCGCCCCAGCCCTCCTTCCAGCCAGGCCTCCTGAGAACAGCTGCCCCTCCCCCTGCAGGCCTACGAGATGTTCTCCCAGCTCCTGCAGCACCTGCCCAGCCTGCACGCAGATTTCCTTGGCCACGTGGGCACACTGGCCGCCTTTGCAGTCCAGCAGGTAGAGAAGCATCGGGAAAACCTAGACACCTCAGGCCCTGCCCGTGACCTCGTGGACGCCTTCCTGCTGAAGATGACACAGGTGGGAAAGGCTGGGGGCCTCCTTCCGCCCCTCGTCTTTGCTCCTTCCAGCCCCGTGACCAGCAATCCCACCATCACGTCACCCCCCACACAGAGGGTATGCTTCATGAAGCCCAGCATTTAATTACAAAACCTTTCAGCATGACCTTATGCTATAAAGTCCACGTTATTACATATATAGAACAGTGTGTTAGTAGATGAGAACAATCAAGCTAAGGTGATGCCTGTGTCGACTGTACAAGTTTGGAAATTAGGGAGATACTCAGGGCCATGTCCTTTGCTGCTGTTGTTTTTTAAATTTATTTATGCATACAAGAACTAGGGTGCAGGGCAGAGGTTCAGGGGTGAGAGGATTCACCAGAGACAGAGCAGGGAACAGAACAGGCAGATGCACTGAAATTCACTGCTGAGAGGAGCAGTGGGCAGGTCAGGAGAGGTCTGCTGTGCCCCATGGGTCACCTCCCTGGTGGGAGATCGAACTCAGGCAACGGCCATGATAGCGCGAGACTTAACCCCTAGACTACCAGGAAGGTCCCAAGGAGTTCCTCTTCTTTTTTTTAAAAAAAAAAAAAGATTTAGGCCCTCCCTGGTGGCGCAGCGGGTTAAAGCACAGCACTGAGAATCTGAAGCCACTTCCGCATGAGTTCGATTCCCGCCTGCTGCCTGCCCCGGAGGAGACCACATGGCGAGCCAGACCTCTCCTGGCCCACCCGCTGCTCCCTTCAGCAGTGTACTTCGTCGATCTGCCTGTTCTGCTCCCCACTCTGTCTCTGGTGAAGCCTCTCACCGCCCCTGAGCCTCTGGCCTGTACCCCAGTTCTGTATGAATAAATAAATAAATCTTTTAAAAAAAAAAAAAAAAGATTTAATTTGTACATACAGAACTAGGGTACAGGCCAGAGATGCAGGGGCAGTGAGAGGATTCACCACAGACAGAGTGGGGAGCAGAACAGGCAGATTGACGAAATGCACTGCTGAGGAGAGCAGCGGGCGGGTCAGGAGAGGTCTGCTGCGCCCTGTGGGTCACCTCCGGGGCAGGCGGGGATCGAAGTGGCTTTAGCTTCTTAGTGCTTTAACCCGCTGCGCCACCAGGGAGGGCCCAAGGAGTTCCTCTTCTTTAAAGTGAATTCCACTCCATGGCTACTCTAGCCTCTCTGCCCATCAGCGGACACTTGGGTGTATCTGTCCCCCAGCTATGAACAGAATCTTCGAGATCCAGCTCTCAGCCCTGGGGAATGTGCCCAAATGGTTGTATCCTTGGGAACTGGGTTGTAGAGCTCTGAGGAAACACCAGCCCATTTCCGTTCTGTCCACGGTGACTGGAGTTCTCAACTGGCCACAACTTCTCCAACACTTACTTTTTTTTTTTTTTTAAAACAGTGGCCATTCTCTCGGGTCTGCAAACATTTCAACAGAGAACTGTTACCAAGAGCCCACTTCCCAATTTTCCCCAATGTGTATGAAAAGTCCGGGGCACACTTTGACTTGTCTGTGCTGGGCCTGTGTTCTGAGCGGCTCCCCTGGTTTCTTCCAGGAGAAACAAGACACTGACACGGAATTCACGGACAAGAACTTGCTGATGAATGTCATCTATCTGCTGTTCGCCGGGACCGTGACGGTCAGCGCCACGACTCGCTACACTCTCCTGCTCCTGATGAAGTACCCTCAGGTGCAAGGTAGGAGCCTTCCCACCCACCAGGCCCTGGGGGTGAGTCCAGCTTCTGGGGTATCTGAAGAGCAAGAACTTGGGGATACTTCTGTTCACAGGGTGAGGCATGATGAGAAGTGAGGCCAGAGAAGTCTCCAAAGTGAGGATGAATGGCAGAGGTGTGCCTGTTCCTGAGCAGTGGGGAGCTATGGGGAGATTCTGGGCAGGAAAGGGCAGGGTCAGATTTGCATTCCAGAAGATTCCTCTGGGCTGCCCTGAAGAGGCAGATTGAAGGGTATGAGAACTGAAGGGAGGGTGGGGGAGGGACCTGGTATCGGAAGGACAGAGCTGGGCCAGGCTGCGAGGAGGGCAGTGTGGGCAGTGGCCGGGAATAAGAACGACATGGGAGGGAGGCGACTGGGCACTGGCCCAAGGCTCCAGCCAGGGTGTGGGGGCCCCTGAGGCACCCTGAGGTGGAAACAGAAGGAATGAGCAACCAGGTTCAGCAGAGACACTGAAGCCAGCCTGGGTGTGAGCATCCTGGGTCCCCTGGGGAGCAGTATCCAAGGGGTCATGACACCCAGGCCAGACTAGAGACCCAAAGCACATCGGGTCATCAGAGCGCAAGCAGGAACTGAAGCCATGCTGGTGAGAGAGGCATGAGGGTGTGGGTACCCTGGTGTACCCTCCCGCTTTGGGGGCCAGGCAGCTGTGTTAAATGCTGTCGGCCTGTAAGGTGGGCTGCCCTACAAGATGGGACTAGCGGGCCAGGTGGCCTTAGTGAGGGGGGTGTCAGCTGTGACTGTGGCCCTTTGGGCCTCAGTTTCCTCATCTTGGAAATGGGGCCAAGTGGACTGCTGTGGGCATTGAGGGGCTCAGTGCTCAGATCGTGGGCTCCCCGCCGCCAGTGACTCCAAACCATAGTGCACAAGAAGGGCCCCACCTCACCTCTGACCTCTTCTTGGGTGCAGAACGTGTGCGGGAGGAGCTGACCCGGGAGCTGGGCGCCGGCCAGGTGCCGGGCCTGGGGGACAGAGCCCGCCTCCCCTACACGGACGCGGTCCTGCACGAGGCCCAGCGGCTGCTGGCCCTGGTGCCCATGGGCATACCCCGCGCCCTTACCAAGACCACCTGCTTCCGAGGATACATCCTGCCCAAGGTGGGTACCTGGGGCTCAGCCACGCCCAGCTGCGGTCTCTGCCTGGGGCGCAAGGCTGATGCTTATCTGACCTCCTGGACGTGGGTCTCCCTCTTTCTCGGAATCGTCCTCGTCTCTCCTCTCCCTCTGCCAGCTCCCTCTCTTAGTGTCTCGTGTGTCCCCGCCCTCCCACCCCACCCCACATTTCTCATGCTTGTGTGCCTTCCTCTTGCCCTATGATACCGTCTCTGGGCCCCATCTGTCCAGTGAATATCCAGATTCTAGCTCCTTCCAAGGTGACTGGAACCATGGGGGCCAGGACAGACAGGAATGCACTATGAGGACAGGACGGGATGGTCTCCCTCTCTTTCCCCCCTCTCCTCCCCCTCCCTCTCCCTTTCCCTCTCTCCCTGCCCCAGTCACTAGAGAGTAACTCCGCCATTACCACCAGGGGGCGATGTCTCCCCGGAAACCCAAGGCCTCTTGAAAGGTTAATGGATTTGCCAAGGTCACCCAGCCTGCAGGTGGTAGAGGCAGGTTTTGAATCCAGAGCCCGGCTCATTTTTCTCTTTACTACGATGACACAAACTGCCCTTTCCCGGGAACCCACCTCACCGTCCAGCTCAGGGCTCCATCAGCCACAGCCCTAGCGAAGGAGGTCCCCCTGCCGCCCTCCTGCACCGCACCGCCCTCCTCTTCCACTGCAGTCTGGGGAACACGGCAACGCGCGGGTCCCGACTGAGGGGGCCACCACTCTCCCCGAACCCGAGCACAGGGAGCGCCATGGATCTACCCCCCACCTTGGCTTTCCTTCCAAGACCATAAAAAAGCTGCCCTCTGAGCAGCCACGGCTGAATCGCAGCATCCTCCCAAGACGAAAAACAAAATTTAAAAGTAACAAACCCTGCCATGCCCCAGTGCCATCTTGCTTCAGGTCTCTGGGCCTCAGTGTTCCCACCTTGAAAATGGGTCACGTAGACGCAGCTTCCTAGGAGCGGGCGTGCGTGTGTGCGCATGCGCGGGCCCACCCAGACGCCTGTTATTCTTAAACTGTCTATAAAATATTTGATAAGGCGCCCGGGGCATCTTAAAAACTCAAGACAGGTCCGTGCCTCTGCTGTCCCGCAACACTCCAGAATCCGTGCCCTGCGCAGAGGCCTGGATGGCGGGAGATAGAGTGGCTGTCATTTCCCCTCAGGGCACTGAGGTCTTCCCGCTCCTGGGCTCTGTCCTGCATGACCCCGAGGTCTTCGAGAGGCCAGAAGAATTTCATCCCGACCGCTTCCTGGACCGTAACGGCCACTTCACGAAGCCGGAGGCTTTCCTGCCCTTCTCCTTAGGTACTGGCTGGGCCCCAACCCCACCCATCCCGGCTGCAGTACTAGCTGGGGCTCAGGGCTGGCTTCTCCCCGCCCCCCAAGGCTTCTGGGGCGCAGGTGTGAAGGACCCTCGTTCAGCCCCGCTCTCTTCCTTCAGGAAAGCGCGTCTGCCCCGGGGAGGGCCTGGCGCGGGCGGAACTCTTCCTCCTGGTCACCGCCATCCTGCAGACCTTCTCCCTGGACAGCCCGAGCCTGCTGGGCACCCTGAGCCTCCAGCCAGCTGTCAGTGGCCTTTTCAACATCCCCCCAACCTTCCAGCTGCAAGTCCGGCCCCGCTGACCTCCTCCCCGCCTCACCTACCCACCATGTGGACCCCACACAGGGGAGCTCAGGGAGGCCTCCACAGTGGGCGTGGACATGGCTGCATCGCTGGAGCCACAGGTCTACACATGGCCGCCAACCACGTTCACACACCAGGCCATTTTCTAGAGTCAGTCACACCACTACTCCACTACTCAGCCTACACATCCGCAGGGCCGGCTCAGCTGCCCACGCGGCTGTCAAGATGAAACTGGACACTGCTACCCAACCACGAGCGCCACCAGGCCACACAGGCTTTCCCAGACATAAATTTAGTCCATGTGCGACCACAAGCACATGCCCAGAAAACCCATCAGCCCTGACACAACACAACTCCCCCTGATTTGTGACCCCAAACTGCCACCACGTGCCATTTTCACTTACCAAAGCCGCTGTGGTCTCTGATCCTGGTACAGAGCCCCCGCACCCCTAACCCTAGTCAGGGCCTCCCGGCTCTTGACCACCACACCCATGAGGCAATACCCCGGCTCCTCTGCACCCTCAGCCCTCACGGCGCCCTTCTACCAAGTACCCTGGTTCCTACATTCTCTGCAAATATGAACAAACCCCCCAGAGGCAATTGGACACACAGATCTGAAAACCAGGTATACTTGGACACCCCAAATCCCTAAGGCCCTGTTAAAAGCTTCCTCCAACTCGACCCACTGTCCCACTGTGTCAGAGTCGCCACTAGACCCGCTGGAAGGAGCAAGACACCAAACGGCAGGGTGCCGACTCCCGTGTCAGGGATCAGGCCAAGTCTGACGTCCTTTTGACTCAAAGTTCCTTATTTTGCAATAAAAGGTTGTTTCTGGCCCTGGCTCTGGCCCAAGGCAGGACCGAGTGTGTGCCTGTGGACAGTGTTGGTAAGTGTGAGTAAGGGGTGGGGTTGGGGGAGTCCGCCCCTCCCTGGAGGCCAGGCTGGAGCTAAAAAACACGGCCCCGCCCACCCCTGCTGCTGACATCAGTTCCAGATGTGGAGTGGGGGAGGGCTGGTCCTGGGCCTCACTTCCGGCCAGGCAACCGGAGCAGGAGGTGGGCTGGAGGTGAGGACAGGATTGCAGGCCTTTGGTGGGGGGGACCTCAAGTGGGGAAAGTCCCCAGATGACAGGTCCAGGAGGACCCCCCAATATGAATTGGTCCCTAGTCCTGCTCCCCACTCCTCCACTATCTTCTTCCCAGGGGACCTGATGCACGTTTATCCTTAGTTACCTCGTAAGGAAATTTCAAGCACGAAAGTGGGATCAGGCCGGGAGCCCCCATGCCCATCACACAGCCTCGTGAGATAACCACTAGCTTCCTACTTACGGCATCATGCTCTTAGAATTATTTCAAAGCAAATCCCAGAAAATAATTGAATACACATTTCAAATTATGAAGGACATTCATTCCCACCCCACCCTCCCCATCTCATCGTGACAATTTCCAAACTTGCAGCAAAGTTAAGGGAATTGATGGGCGAAACCTGTTACCCACTGTGCTCCCAGCCTTTTTTTTTTATTTATTTATGCATACAGAACTGGGGTACAGGCCAGAGGTGCTGGGGCAGTGAGAGGCTTCACCAGAGACAGATCAGGGAACAGATAAGCAGATCAGTGAAGTACACTGCTGAGGGGAGCAGCGGGCGGGTCAGGAGAGGTCTGCGGCGCCATGTGGGTCACCTCTGGGGTAAGGGGGAGATCGAACTCACACTGAAGCAGCTGTGGCTTGTTTGCAGTGCTGCGTCCTAACCCTTGTGCCTCCAGGGAGGGCCTCCAACCTTTGTTTCTGCTGGCATTTCAAGGTAAATGCCAAAGTAAATTGTAGAATTTGGTTTATCTTCCCTGAATGCTTCAGCAGTATATACCATTAGCTCGGGTTTCCTTTTTTGTTTGTTCTCTAAATTTTTTGCAACATTGAAAATCACTTTAAGTTGCATAGAAGGAAGCCAAACCCATGCTAGAGAACTGAGAGCGACCAGTATCTGACCCTTGCGGACTGATCACACCTCGACGGAGCACGTAGCACGTAAAAGACATGATGGCAAAGTACACAGTGGTGGAAAATCCTGGAACCTGGTAGGTGTGACAGGCCACATTGTCAGATCTCATGGTTTCTTTATATGTCAGTGTAATGCGGAAAGATATGAATGAGGTTTAAGATTTGATCCTTTCAAATTAAGGCAGGGACTTGCTTTCCTTTGCACTCGAAGTTCACATTCAAGGAAATCTGAAATGAGAATAGCAAATGCACTGATGCCAGAGAGATGCATCTTGCATTGGGTCGTCAGGATGAGAGGTAGGATGATTTAGTAGCAAGTAAAAGCAAATAAAAACTCCACGCGGCTTCAGCAATAAAGAATTCCAAGACCCGGGTCTCCGTGGTGGTGCGGGGTTGCCTCAGCACCGCCACGCAGCAGACCTGCCTCCCCGCTGCTCCCCTCAGAGCATCTCAGCGGAGCCGCCTGTCCTGCTCCCCCCTCTCTGGTGAATCCTCTCACCCCTACACCTTGGCTTGCACCCCAGTTCTTGTATGCAAGCGTAAATAAATAGATATTTTAAAATAATAATTGTAAGATCCCCAAGCAAAAGTATTTAGAATTCTAGTGGGACTTCAGTTTTGCAGGCAGCTGGTGAAACAGTTATCATTTTCACCTTTTAGAAGTATA